CTACTCACTCATTCCTGCTCGTGCAGGATACCACAGGCTGGCAGCAGCCACAGCCTGCACAAAGGTGCTGCATCCAGGATGTGTAGCTGTCCAAAAGTGCTCAACAGAAACATGTGCTGCAGAAATCTTATTTTGTGCACTTTTCACAATGTGTTGATACATCAGACCCAATTCAGCTTTGGCCTGATCATCTTCAAACTTCATCTGATTAGACACGTTCAAGTTTTTTATTGTTTTATCTTTGAAACATTAGTTTTTGAAAAAGAATGTCCTCAAGTCTCCAAAACACTGTTTCCAAAAAATTGTGAGGATTCATTCTCTCAGAACAAGGCTATTCATTAAACTTATTTCTAGAGCTTTTGTTGACACATGGTTAACCACTGAAAGCTAAGCACTAAGATGTTTGTATATGTTAGCAAACTATTTATGATACTGTGATAGTCCTAAAATAAAGTACTGCTATGTGCTGAAATACAATCCTTTTTGTCCACTTGCAACAACCAAGCTGTAATCTCAGACTTGCAACATTAACTGCACGTTCTGCCCTTTACTACTTTCTTCCATCAACAACAGGTGAAGCTGCTGATCCAGCATGTGCATCTGCCTATTCTTCCATGATTCTTTACAGTCCACCAAAAATTGCCCTAAAACACATTAAGAATTTTGCTGCAAAGCCCAGTTTACAGGTTTAACTGAAAGCCTCTTAAAGGAAGAAAAAATATTTTGGCACTTAAACGCAAAGGAAGAGCCAGAACAAGATCAAAACCAGGCATCACCTGTTACGGAAAAGCAAAGTACAGGAGCAATGCTTTCTGTGAAAGAAGGGGGCACTGGGGATAGAGAGACATTGGGAAAACAGCGTAGAGCCAGGTTTGTTGTACTTGCAGTGAAAAGGATGCCAAAGGCACAGGCAGCAGCTGCTGGCCCTGTGAAGAATCACCACGTGCTGCCCCAAGCACAAGGACCCCATGGTGCTGGCCTGGTGTTCTGACACCCACCCATGACACCATTAAAGCTGTAACACACCACGAATGGTATGGCCAGTGTGGTACATCCCACCCTTCAGTGGTGCAGCTGACCCTCCTGAAGGACGGGCTGCCATCCAGAGGGACCTGGACCAGCTCCAGAAGTGGCCCACGAAATCTCCTGTGGTTTAGCAAGGCCAGGTGCTGGTGCTGAACCTGGGCCAGGGCAGCCCCTGGTACCAGTCCAGGCTGGGGATGAGCAGATCCAGGGCAGCCCTGGGGACAAGGACTGGGGGTGCCAGTGGGTGAGAGGCTGGACAGGAGCCAGCAGTGTGCAGCTGGAGCCCAGAAAGCCAATCCCAGCCTGGGCTGCACCCAAAGCAGCGTGAGAGCAGCTGGGCAGGGGATCCTGCTCTGCTCTGATCTGGGGAGATCCCAGCTGGAGCTCTGCATCCAGCTCCGGGCTCCCAGCACAGGAACAACAGGGAGTGTTCCTCTGGCCTCTGGAGTGAGGCCAGAGGAGACCAGCAAGACCAGAGGGATCAAGCACCTCTCCTGCGAGGACAGGCTGAGAGAATTGGGATTGTTCAGCCTGCAGAGGAGAAGGCTTTGGGGTCACTGTGGCCTTGCAGTGCCTGAAAGGAGCTTGTGAGAGCAGAGGAGAGGGACTTTTACAAGGACATGCAGTGACAGGACAAGGGGGAAGGCTTTACAATGAAAAAGAGTAGCTTTATACTAGATTTAGAGGGAAATGCTGTGCTGTGTGAGTGGTGAGGCCCTGGCACAGGTTGCCCATCCCTAGAAGTGTTTAAAGCCAGGCTGGATGGAGCTCTGAGCAACCTGGGATAGTGGAAGGATTCCCTGCCCATGGCAAGGGAGATGGAACTGGGTGATCTTCAGGGTCCCTTTCAACCAGGCCATTCTATAATATACAATATAAAAAACAATCACACTCAACTCAAACACTGGCCTACATTTTTTCTGGCAACATATGTAATGATTCTAGCACACTGTGCAACAAAGAAGCTAATAAATAAATATATCAGTTACAAATAAATACATTGATGCCAATCATGAACTGGAGCTAGATTTTAGCTTTATTGCTTTAGTATGATACAATCAAAGAAAACCGCCAACTACCCCTTAGCTTGATCCTGCATTTCATTTGGTATATATTCATGCTAAACATGTAACCAGACCTCAGAAAGCAATATTGCCATTCAGCCTTGTGTAACAGTGGATGATTTAAAGAGAAACAGCAAATCTTCCCTAAGGGGCAGTGTATATTAGCTCACACAGTTCTCTAACAGAGCTGGCTTGATTCCGGTTGAAGTCTCACACAGGCAGAGGAGCCCACCACTGTCTGCAGAATGCACTTCTAGATTCTAGAGATTTCCATATGGAATATACCACGAGCCAACATCTCACCATCAGAAGTAAAACTTCCCTGTCATCTCCTCCTGGCTGCTCACTGCAGCTGAGCCAGCTCTCACAAAGGCAAGCTGACTCAGCTCAGCAAAATTACACAAAAATCACCTCTGGCAGAAAAAGGTAAAGGTGAAAAAGGGAAGCCAGTGGAGTGAATTCATTACTCAGCCTGTGGCCACAGCTCATCACAAGAAGTGAGAAGGTGAAGCAGGAAAAGAGGGACAGTCAGGCTTTCTTCTCCTTTGGGTGTCAGCAAGCAGCTGAGGCAGCCCAGCCCTGCTGCCACGCCACATCTGGAACCAGCAGCACATGCTGCAGCACTGCAGATCATTCCTCAGACCTTAAGCAGATGATTCCCATTAAAGTGTTACCTTAAGTACTTATATCTGTCTCCTAGCTATCAAATGATATTTTTGATTCTATAAAAGATTTATTTTTTCCAAGTGCAGACTCTCAGTTTAGAGAAAGAAATGAGAAACAAAAAAACCCAGTACTGCTCCAGGCTGCTACACTGCACAGATTGTGTTACAGTGCTTCCACTTAAGATTTTGGTCTTAAATAGAGAGAAAAATTGTATTAGCTTATGTTTCAGCAAGATACTTTTATTATATTCAATTCTTGACTTCAGAGAGAAGCACATACAATATCACTACTGGTAACAGGCACTAAGTTATGCGCTACAGTTCAGAAGGCATTTTGGCCCACCAAAGCTCAGTTCCTACACAGCAAGTAACAGCTGCATTTGAAACAAAACCATTTCTTATTAAGACAAGAATCCAAGTTTCAGAATCATTAGCACACCTAACATGACTGCTAAATATACATTTTAATATGCACACTTTAATCTAAACATTTTTAAAAAATCTAATTAACATGATCCATTAAAGGATTTTTTTGTTTATCCCTGAAGAGATCCTTCAGAAAAGCTGCTTATAAATATCCTGGGTACCAGGATACTGTAAAAGCACTTACTCTCAACATACTCTTTTGTCATCTCAGAGAAAAATGTTACAAAATACCATTTGGCTACAAAAGATAAAATGCACAAACTTCGAGGAAGATTTCCTAGACAGAGGACAGCAAGGAGCAGCAGGGGTCAGTTTAATGAGAAAGCTGCGGAAGTTTCGCTGGCTGATCTCAGGACAAGATTTATCTCATACACAGGAAAAGCAAATCTCTGGATAAACTGACCTTATCTGATGGTTATGGACATCAGTGATTAAGCTTTCAGTCTACTCCACCTCTATTAAAACCACGTAAAAGAAATTAAACTTAACAACAGCTGTCACAATTTCTGTTTCACTCAATTTCACTATTTGATTGCCAGAAAAAAGGATCTACTCCAGCAACATTCAGGGAAACACTGTGCCTGTGGTTCATTTAGTGGTATAAAGGCACTGTCTGTGTTCCCCTGCATGCAAATCTGGATGGGTTCTTTTTTGTGATTTCTTGTGTAACATGATTTTACAGCCATGTACCCACCCCCACATTCTCTTTAGAGCAGTTCTGTAATGGAAATAAACAACATAATGGTACTCTTTACAGTTCATGTTGTCATTACTTGAGGAAATAAAACAAACAAGACACTAGCAGTTTTACAATTTATTAGCACATCTTTCCAAATTCAGGACAAGAAACTCCACAGCAGCACATTCACTCTAGAAAATGAGACACTACCTCTAGATGGAAAAGGCACTTCATATCAGTTCCATGTATCACCCTCCTCTCAGGCCCACTTGAGGGAAGCAATGTGCTCTGAGTGTAATAATAAGTGGAGATTAGTGGAGATCCTGCAGGGAAATAAAAAACTGTGTGTCCTTCTCCACTGGAAATGGCACTTTCAATAGCATCAGCATCGCAAACGCTGCACTATTAGCATACAACTGGAGTAATTTTCTGCCATCAGGGCTCGTTCATATGTAAAACAACAACCCTCCTGTTTCCCAGGGAGAGAAGGTCTCCCACCCCCCACATGGCTCCTCCAGCTGCAAGCAACACAGGTGCTAACTTATGCAAACACAAGGAAAACTCACTCTGCTGGTTTCTGGCTTTGGTGAGCTGCAGCTTCTCCCTCCACCCTCTGCCCTGGCCTCTGGGTGACTTCACTCCTCTCCTCAGTGCTGATGACTTTCACACTCACCTTTCTTCCCCTCCCCATCCACGGCTGCATTTCTTCCTGCTGCTTCTTGAAATTAGGCATGAGAAAAGCAGAACCTCAGCTTTTCCTCCTGAAGTCTCATACCTTTTTTCTTCCTCATTTAATACTGATCCCTCCATCTTTTCATTCCAATGTTGAGGTTTTTTGCAACTTTTTTTTTTTTTAACATCTAATCTGATTGGCTGCAGCCAAGTTTCTAAGTGCATTTCACTACAGAATTCATTTCAGTCTGTGGTTCAGCATTGCCTGGAGTGCTACAAACTGAATCTTCAAAAGACTTACTCGCTCATTAGCATACACCTTCCTCTTCTGAGCAGTGCCTTCAGGTGCAGTCACCCTCTTTTCAAGAGCATATTCCTCATCTTTACCTCTGAGGCACATTCCTCCTGCTCATCTCGGCCTGCCTATCTTCAATCTGCAGGGAAAGCAAGACACCACAGTTCACTCATCATCCTGATGTCTCCTTTGCTGCTACCCTGCCCTGTGCAGGTGGTGCCCGTTTCCCTTACTCTTTGTTTTAACAAGCATTCAGCAAAAGATACAGGAATTTACCATCTACAAATCACGTGGCTTAGGCTGCTCTAAATAAAAAGAAACTGCTTTAGCCAGTCCTAGCTAAAGTAGTCCTCTAGAACTCTTACCATTTAAATTTAGACTAAATAAAAATAAAGAAAGAATAAATAGATACTCTCTCTGTTCTCTTGCTAGCTGACTTTTGGTGTATACAAGACGACTGGAAAGAGACTTTTCACAAGAGCATATGGTGATGGACAAGGGGTAATTGACAAGGGGCAATGGACAAGGGGCAATGGACAAGGGGCAATGGCTTTAAACTGGAAGTAGGTTTAGATTAGATATTAAGATGAGATTATTTACTGTGAGGAGGGTGAGACACTGGAACACCCAGAGAGACTGTGGCTGCTCCATCCCTGCAAGTGTTCAAGGCCAGGTTGGATGGGGCCTTGAGCAACCTGACCTAGTGGAAGGTGCCCGTGCCCATGGCAGCGGGGATCGGACTGGATGATCTTTAAGCTCCCTTCCAACCCAAAGCATTCTGCGATCCCATTATACGATTCCATTCAGGCCGGCGGTGACTGCCTGTCGGGGAATGCCCGAGTCTTTGGGAAAGCTCTGACATACAGGCACACAGGAGAGGCGGTGGCGGGTGGCGGCTCGGCGATCCCCGCCGCGGGGGGAGGCGGACGGGCGCGGGGAGCGGCGTCAGCGCCCGCTGACGGTGACAGGGGCCGGGCCGCCCTACAAAGCGCTGTACAATGGGGCGGCTGTCGGGCTCCATCTTGGCGGCGGCGGCCGCTCCGGAGCCCGCGGCTGGCGGCGCTTCCCCTCCGCGGGAACAACATGGCCCCGCCCCGGTTCCTCCAACAAAGCGCCAGCGCTTCACTTCACCGAGGAACCGGCCTCCCCCATACCCGACACCGCCACCCCGCCCGTCCCCGCCTTCAGCCCCCCCACCC